GCACACTTTGAGAAACACTGGTTTAAACATATAAGAGATACAAATAGACATTTTTACTTATAATAAGTGACTGACTATATACAGTGCTTCTCGAAAGTCCCCTCCCCCCTCTTTTCTTTTGAACGGTGATACTTAGACTGATGAAATTTGGAGGGTGAAAATAACTATTGTAAGCTTCTATACTATTGGTAATAGGGGGCGTAATAGGCATCGGTGACGTCACCAGACAACTGAAACCAATAATATTAAATGGGACCTTATGGCAAGTGACACCTCATTTGAAAGGTATTTAGAATACATATGTTGTTAATTTAGAATATTTTATGAATATACTTTTTGTAGAAGTCATTTTTTCTCCATTATATTATATAGCTGATTTAAATAAAATGTCTACAATATTCTATATTGGAATGGAATGCCTTCTGTTTTAGTATAGAATTTATAGTTCAAACTACTACTGGTCAAATGAGGTACTATCGAATCGCCTGTCTGGTTATGTGCCTGTATTCAGCAGTCAGTATTAATATGGTAAAAGGCCTGCAATTTCCCGTTAATTTCCCATCAATAGGCCATTAATAGTTAATATATTTATTTCTAGATATTAAAGGGAAAATGGATGTCTATTAACTAAATTTAAAGGTTAAGTGACTTCGGCCCGACTGTCGGCCGTATTGACCCATATATGCCAGCCTGTTAATTATAAAAGTTAAATGGCCATCATTACAATTTGGAAGTAAAAGTTATCGGGTCTTTTATTCTGCGACACAAAATGTTTCTTGGGTAGAACTGATAAAATATATTTTTTATTTCCAATATACAATGTATAAGTTTCTTCTGAAGTCCAACAGGCCCTTGTTTTCTTCATTAAAATTATTTGAAACTTATTTTTATTAAAAACTTCCTGTCTTACTGCCTTTAATAATGTATATTCTTTTAGTCTTATGAGTTTTCTTGCTCTTGGTTGTGTTTAATACTTGTAAGAAATCATACCATTAGCTTTTAAATGTAGAGTGGACAAAGCTGCAATTAATGTAATAATAATTGTGAAACTTTATTGCAAAATAATATTCTAAAATATTACCATTAGCCTTTAATTTCAGTTTATGTTCAGTCCATTTCTTCTGATGATTTTTGTTTGTAAAAATTGTGTTTACAGCTCGCTCCGGGCATGCCAAAATTTCTAATTATTTCAGGGTATGAGCAAAATGTGGTCCGAATTCGGCTCGGAGGCCGTACCCTAACTCAAAATGTTTAAAATAAAACGATCCACACAATATTTACATATCTTTATAACTCAATTCAAAAATAAATTGAAATTTTATGAAAATCATTAAGTACCTACATGATTTTTCCTTGCTGTTTTGTAGCTCTTCTTTTAAAAAATCAAACTACCGTCATTATAAAAACTGTAATACTAAAAAATAGTCCAAAAATCGAAATATAATCATCACTAAACAGCAATAGAATATTTTTTTTAAACTAATTTACGAACCGTCAACTCGCTTTTTCCTTCGGTGACGTGACTCCGTCTTTTGCTACGGGGATGGAGGCCACCGTAGTGTCTAAGAACCGTCACCCAACAAACATTTTTTGTAGGGGAATTAAAGGCCCAATAACTGTCACCCTCCAATTACATTGATGGCCATTTGACTTTTTTAATTAAAGGCCGGCATATATAGGTCACTACGGCCAACAGTCGGGCCGAAGTCACTTTGCCATCATAACCAATTAATGGGCCTTCATTTCCCCTTTAATGTCTAGAATAAATATATTAGCAATTAATGGCCTATTGATGGGAAGTTAACGGGATATTGCTGGCCTTTTACCATATTAATAAAGGCTATGTGTCAGGCACATGATCAGACAGGATATTCGATAGTGCCTCTTTGACCAGTAGTACCGTTTGAACTATAAATTCTATACAAAAACAGAAGGTATTTCAATTTAGAATATGTATTCTAATAAGATGAATTGTAGAAAATACTGTTAACTACAACTTTTATATGAAACACTTTCTGCTACGAAAATTATTGTTTTTTTTTTACCTAACGATTCAAGAATTACAAACGCGTAGTCTTTTTCGAAAAAAAAAACCTATTTTTATTGTACTAAAGTGCCTACCTAGCCTATATTGAATTTGCTCTACTCAGTCTACAGTAAAAGTATAAAGTGTTTTAGACACATGAAATTACTTTGTAATCACTTTGCATTCTTTTTTATTTAATTTGTCTATCTGTAAAGATAAAAAATAACTGCATTCTCTGATTAGATATTCAAATCTTATCGTCACTGTTATGTACAACAACAATTTCATAACCCTTTGCGTAAGCATTTTGTTAACAAATATAAATATTTAATTATGCCTAGGTATTCAATTTAAACTGCTGACAATATACCTAAGTACGTATTTTAAAACTTCAAAGTTATCCTCCACGTGCGAAATATAAATATAAACGTTTGCTAAAAGTTACATACATCGTTTTTGCATTGAAACAAGTTCTGTTTCCCACGCTAACTGTAAAAATTCTTCTGCGTGGTGCTGGACGAATTGACCTTCCAGTTCACTGTGTTGACTCATCAATTTGGACCGTACTGCGCATAGTGCGCATGCTGTAAGTTTTGGCCGTGACTAGCAAACACAAACGCGAGGTCAAAACTAAAAACATCAAAACAAACCAGATATTCGACAGCGTTCGTTACGTGCGGGTCGCAAACCGAACGATTTTCTAAATGTAACTTGTATTATTAGTGTTAAAAGTGATATGGAAACGAAACAATATTGTAGACTATGTTTAGGACAAAGTGCCAATCTTTTGTGGGTGTTTGATCAACGTTTTGAAGTGAATAATCACTTGAAGGATCTAATATTTAAAACTACTGGTGTTAAGGTACGTTTGACGACATTGTGGTTATGTTTATAAATTGTGGTTGTTTATTTTATATTTTTATGAATTTGTAAATGAATTGAGGTTAAATAACTATGTGAAGTTTTCTAATAAGGTCACCTAATATTTGTGATTTGTATGTGTGTAGTTATTGGTTATTGTTAAATACCTAGTTATTGTTTATTCAAATTATCGCTGTTTGATAAACATGGAATAGTTTTGTTGAAAGTTTTTAAGACATCATAGAGTGAAATAAATACTATATAATTATTTTAAATTAATTGAAACGCGGCTTTGAAAATATTTTGATGATTTTAATGATACATTTACGTGTCCACGATGAGAATGTAGTGTCACCTAGTGGTTAATAGATAAACTATATATCCGACGTTGCCAAGCATCAAATATCTGACATTTAAAGATAATGTTTAGTTTTACTTATCAGTTTTTCATTGTTAACTAGAGAAATATGTAATGTATTTTAAACGATTGTATTAAAGGTAACTGATAACAACAATTTAGTGATATATATGTACCTAAATGAAGTTTTAGGTACTTGTTTAATAATTAGTTCACACTAAAAGGTTATATTTTGATCAACATTAACAATAGGTAGGTATATGGTAGGTAGGTATGTGGTAATAAACGCTGACAATGATTTTCTAATTTTGATAAACATTCACTTTCCATAAATACGTTCTTATTGTAGGTAAGTAATAATTACCTAGTTCATGCGGAATTTACTTTTCTAAATTGAAATCACCACGACAAAACCAAAATACAGTTTAATTTTTCTCGTGAAGCTCATTTCCATTGTACAGGGCGATAAATAAATTCGAAAGTACATGGTTTATTAATCTTTTATTTAATTTCAATTACTCTACATAATTTTGATCAGTTCCAATAATGCAGTGGCGTTGAATAAATTTTAACGGAACATTTTTAAATCGATTTTTTTTGACGGTGTAGATAGGTATTTCACAATAATACCTTTTCTTTATTCTACATTTAGTTCATTAAAACCAAAAATGATCAGAAACTAAAATTATGTTTTCTAATAAGGCCAACTAATTAATTAATATGTACGTACGAGATAGTTATTGTTCATCAACTTATCAGATTTTTGATAAAGATATATAATGGTTTTGTTTACAGTTGTTGAGACATTTATCATAGAATTAAAATACTTACTAGATATGTTGTAATTATTTTAAATTGATATTGAAACGAGGCATTGAAATGAACTTAATGATTTTAATTTTACGTTTACTTGTCGACGATACGAATGTGGCGACACCTAATGGCTAATAGATGGACTATTTAACCGAAGTTTCCAAGCTTCAAATTATCTGACATTTAAGAAAAATGGTGATGTTTATTTTTTACTTGCCAGTTTTTCATTGTGTTGAGAAATGTAATGTATTTTAAATGATTGTAATATACAAGGGGAGTCAAAAAGTAGTAATACAAAGTATTTTAGGAGGTGATAGAAAAATATAAATTAAGGTCAATTTGCTATATAAACTAATGTCCGAAACTTTGAAATAAGGGAGATTAAGCCATTCAAAGGGGGAATGGAAGAACCAGTTTTTCTGTCCTAATTTCCAACCGGAGGAAACTATCAGCTCCAAATTTCCTGGAGAACTTAAAAGTTTTATATCATTTGATTTAATAATGGTAAAACAAAAGAAACAATAATTTTTAGAGGGGTAGTTTAAGGGGGTTGGATGAGTATTCTTACCCATATTTTTTTAATTATTTTATCTTCCCACAAAAATTGTTTAAGAAAAACAAATTTCCATAGTTTTTTCTACAAAAAAGCAATTCTTGTTTAAACGCGATAGAGTGAACCGTTTTTAAATAATTTGACTTTTAAAATGTAACTGCACAATTAATAGATGTTATTCATATCTTTAATAACATTTTTTGATACCTACATTAAAGTGTCGGCGATGAAACTATCTCGGAGAATGTAGCACTTAGTGGCTGATCTGATAGATGGACTATTTACCGGACGTTGCCAACCTTCAAATATATGATTTTTAACGAAAATAGTTATGTTTATATTTAAATTGCCTGTTTTTTATTATTAGTTTGAGAATAGTTTATATAATGTAGGGTCAAGTGGGGTAATTGTAAATGATTTTAACAGTTTTAACTTTAAAACTAAAAATCCATAACTTCTTATTTTTTAAACTTTATGAGATTTGGAAGTGATGTTGCTTAGTACTTTACCTGTTAACTTCCAGAGACAAACCATCATTAGGAAAGTAACTTTTATTGTTTTTCATCATTTACATTTACCCCTACATATTTACATTTACCCAGCTCAAAGGGGTATATGTAAACAAAGTTTTCCTGAAATATTCAAATCACAGTGGACTAATAAGGGGGAAATGAAAACAAATCGAAATATGTACGATTTTATAATTTTATTATTTTATTTAGAAGGGTATTTACATTTACCCCGAAATAGAATTAAAAAAATACTTTTTATAAGGTAAAGAACATTTAACCGAGCATTTAACAGGCTTGGTACAAACAAAATAAAAATAAGAAAGTATAGGTTGGTAAACAGTTAACTTAACACTTCTCCATTACAGTTTTACTTTTAAGAAACCACTACTGAGCCCGGAAAAACGTAAACAATTTTTCTCTCACGATATTTAATGTTCGGATAAAATTGCTTTAATCATTTCAAATGTTATTGTGCTAATATCATTTGGCTTCTCTACAAACTCTGTTGAAGTAGCATTGAACCTCTCAAATCCTTGCACCACAACATCTGCATCTTCTCCATCTTGATGGATGTTTTGGATACAGCAGACATACTTACAATGGACTTTATTTCTCAGCCCCCCAGTAAAGTCTACTAAGACAAATAAGCCCGGTTTTAGTTCATTCCAAACTGGATCATGATATTCAACTTCGTTTGTTGCTTCACCAAGGATTGATTCCAACAGATCATCAGAAGAGTCATCTTGGCATAAAGTAGATTCGTCAATTACTTCTTCTTCTACAATGTTATGAACAATCTTTCTTTTCTTACCACCATATGATTTTTTCTCAGGTTCATCTTTTTGCTTTCTATTGGTCTTTTTCTTTTGATTTGTTAAGTTTTGAGTAGCTTCGAGTTTGTCCAATACTTCTTGATTGGTCAAAATTTCGCCATACTTCTGTGGTTTCAGTCTTGGAATAAGTTTTTTCACATTTTCAACTCTTGCTTGGTCAATGCAGCGATTATTACTGTGCTCAGCAAAAATACCAATTATTGTGTTGGGAGTCACTTTATTGGTGCATGTACTCGTAGTTACACGTTTAATGGGTGTCGAATGTGCAATAGGTGGCACATCTGTTACAACTTCTAATTTGTCAGGATTCGAATTAAGAATAGACATCTCTTGAGAATTTTTAGGTAGAGGTTCACATGCGCAGGAAATTTCAGAATTTGCAAATTAGGTTCTTCATTATGTGAACTATTGCTATCTGCGTTTTCTGTTATTGATAGATTAGTAGTTTTGTTTTGTGTTTCTTTAAATCTTTTGAGGGCAATTGGATCAAATTCCGACTCTGGAAATCGTTTGGCATTGATAGGAAAGAGGCCAGTTGTTTCGAAGCCTCTTACAATGTTAGTAGGTTTCATTCCTTGAGACCACACTTCGCCTAACAATTCAGTAAATAATCTCTTTGTCAAACGGCCTGACTGTCTGTTTTGAAGTTGCTCTCTTGGGAAGTCAATAAGTTTTTTTTCCCATAATTTTTTAATAGGGCCAAATACGCACTTGTCAAGAGGCTGTATTTTGTCAGTCAAGTGGCTAAGAAATTTCACCAAGTGCAAATTATTTTCTAACGCAGCTTTAATTATTCTCACACTAATGTGACTAGAATGTCCGTCAAAAAACAGCACGGCAGCTTGATTGGGTAAATTATTAGAAACTCGAATTGATTGTACATGAGGTATGAAAACTGAGGAAAACCACTCAAAAAACTGTGGTTCCTCCATCCATCCATGGCTGGAACACGTGTACCTGAAAGATAAAAAAATGTTAATAAAAGAATTAATAGGGGGGTGGGTTGGCTCAGTGGTTAGAGTCATGACTTTGAGATCGAAAGGTCTCAGGATCGAATCCCACTGTTGGCCGGAATTTTTTCATTTAATTTAATTATTTAAAATTAATTCTGATGCCTTGGTAGGATTCCCCACTCGACCATTCACTGTTGGGTACTAATTAACAGTGCTGTTCCTAAAGTGGCGCTGGGAAACAGTAACAAAGCCTACACAAAACACGAGGCTAATGGCCGTAGTAGTCGACGCCGATGACACCAATTAAAAAAAAAAAAAAAAGAATTAATACCTTACCTTACCTACCTAGGTCCTGGAAAATCTTTCTCTGATGTCCACCTAGCCTGAACACCTACTTCTTTGAAGACAATCAGTGGTGGAAGGAATGATGCATCTGCAGAAATACATGCCAATACAGTGGTGTGTTCCCTGCCTGAACCTCCTGATATTCTAGACAGAGCCTTGCCCTTTTCTCCAATCGCTTTCAGTTTGCTTGGATAGTGAAAAAACCCACTCTCATCACAATTGAATATAAATGCTGGTTGATTCTCAAGTCCATTTTTTTTAAAGCTGCGCCACCTCGTTGTAAAAATTGTAGATTACAAAGGGATCTCTCGAATCTTTCCTACACTTTTGTAGTAACTCTGGTTTCTTAACCGATAATCCTGGGTGCCTTTTCATAAATGAATAGTACCAATCATCTCCAGGGCTATCGTTGACAAATTGGGTCTTTAAATTATTTAAACGCACATATTCGGCCACAACTTGCTTGACATTTTCTTTATCGCATGGAATACCCATTCGCGCTCGTGCTCTAATGCAATTTTCTAAATCATGTTCGATGTCAACGCTAAGTGATTGAGTCCTTCCAGAACCTAATTTGTCAATTGCATTTTTTTTTTCTCCCTTTTATTCTATTAAATACTACCGCTTTTGGGATACCATAGTCATTTTCAACTTGTTGATAAGTTTTGTTTCTATTTAAAATATCTTCTACAGCCCTACCCAAGTCTTCAGAGGTATATGAAGGTGGTGGTCTTTTTTTAATGTAAGTCCGTGGCATCTCTGAAATTATTACAAATGTTTACTTACTAATTACCATTAAATTGGTGCACTTCTATTTTGGGGGTAAATGTAAATAATTTGTTGGTAGGTTATGAACTGCAGAATATCCAATTTTTTAAGTAAAAATTAAAATATTGCACCATTATACATTACATAAATCAAAAACTCATATCAAACATACCGTATTTTGGCGACAATCCACTTGTAAAGAAAACTTTGCACAACTGTGTTTCACACAAAACAACACTGTGATGTTAATCCAAATGTATTTCAGTGTCTACCTCCGGTTCTGGCGCCATAATTTGTCCCCCACTTAATAAAAAGTACGAAATACAAACAGCGTTGCCAATGTGAGTTAAAGAACTCTTTGAACCAGAAAACAGGAGCCATTTACATTTACCCCTATTTACATTTACCCCAGTTGACCCTACTTACTTTAAATTATTTTATTAATGTTAATTAATTGCCAACAATTTGGTGATATATAACTAAATTAAAGCCATATTCGAGCGGCCTCTTTGGCTTAAAAATATTTTCAACAACTTTTAGAACCAGTGTTAATACTACGTCATAAATTTTGAAAGCACTCAAATAAATAATTTTAAAACAGTGATGTCACTGTTAAGTTAATGATTTATGAGTTTGTAAATCTCTAGCAACAAATAATTTTTGCCTCGTATGTCAAAGAGAACTTCATGTAATATTACCAAAGTTTTATGAAAAACGGATCGTTATATTCAGAATCCGATTTTAACCAATTATTTAAAATTACTAGGTCAAGTTTTAAAAAATTCTTAAAAATTATAAACCTTCATAATTATGCATTTTCTATTTTTTCTTGTGACCATAATTGCCGGGCAGGAAATCACCCTCAAATCCAGCCCTTATATTAAACACTTAAAATATCTTTGCCTGCTTAAATTGGAATGAAATGAAACTTTTTTTATATAAATTTGATATTTATGTGCTCAACCTATATAATGTATATCTCAGAATATTTTACTGAGCTGTAAATCACCCTCAAATCAACCCCTTATATTAAACATTTAAAAAATCTTTACTGGCTTATAATGCAAGTAAATTAATATTTTTATAAACAAATTAGCTTGTATTTATGTCTTCTATTTGATGTATATGTCAGAATATTTTGCCAGGAAATCAGGAAATCACCCTCAAATCCAGCCCTTTTATTAAACACTAAAAAAAATCTTGGCCTGCTTAAATTGGAATAAAATGAAACTTTTTTTATATAAATTTGATTATATTTATGTGCTCAACGTAATGTATATCCGAGGTATATCTCAAAATATTTTGCCCTCAAACCCAGCCCTTATATTAAACATTTAAAAAATCTTTACTGGCTAAGAGTTCAAGTAAATGCATTTTTTTATAAACAAATTAGCTTGTATTTATGTCTTCTATTTGATGTATATGTCAAAATATTTTGCCGGACACGAAATCACCCTCAAATCCAGCCCTTATATTAAACATTTAAAATATATTTACCGGCTAAGAGTGCAAGTAAATGCATTTTTTTATAAACAAATTAGCTTGTATTTATGTCTTCTATTTGATGTAAATGTCAAAATATTTTGCCGGGCACGAAATCACCCTCAAATCCAGCCCTTATATTAAACATTTAAAAAATCTTTTCTGGCTAAGAGTGCAAGTAAATGCATTTTTTATAAACAAATTAGCTTGTGTTTATGTCTTCTATTTGATGTATCTTGGCCTGCTTAAATTGGGATAAAATGAAACTTTTTTTATATAAATTTGATAATCTTTATGTGCTCAACTTATGTATATCTCAAAATATTTTGCCGGGCTGTAAATCACCCTCAAATCAACCCCTTATATTAAACGTATAAAAATTCTTTACTGGCCTAAAAAGCATGTAAATTAATTTTTTCGTAAACAAATTAGCTTGTATTTGTGTCTTCTATTTGATGTATATGTCAGAATATTTTGCCCGGCAGGAAATCACCCTTAAATCCAGCCCTTATATTAAACACTTCAAAAATCTTGGCCTGCTTGAATTGGAATAAAATAAAACTTTTTTTTACATAAATTAAATATATCTCAAAATCTTTTATGTGCTAGTATTGTCTTATTTCCGTTAAAAACTATTTATTTGTTTATTTTGAAAATTATATAATATCCAAACAATCGCCAAGTAAGAACAAAATATTAAATATCTAATTTATGTTCCTAAAGAAAAAATTCATGACCTTCAGATTAAACCACTAGAGATTTTTTAAGTGTTTAATTGTGGGAAGTTGAAGTGAGCGTGATTTGCTGACTGGAAAAATATACTATATACAGGGTGTTTCAGAATAAATTACCATAAAAAGGGGGATTTGTAGATAGATCTTAACTAATTATTAAAAGAAGCTAAATATAATTTTGCTGTAAACGCCCCAATGTTCATTATACAGGGTGCTAAAGTGAAAAGGGGTTGATTTGAGGGTGATTTCCAGCCCGGAAAAGATATACATCAAATAGAATACATCAAATAGAATACATCACATAGAATACATCAAATAGAATACATCAAATAGAATACATCAAATTGAATACATCAAATAGAATACATCAAATAGAATACATCAAATAGAATACATCAAATAGAATACATCAAATAGAATACATCAAATAGAATACATCAAATAGAATACATCAAATAGAATACATCAAATAGAATACATCAAATAGAATACATCAAATAGAATACATCAAATAGAATACATCAAATAGAATACATCAAATAGAATACATCAAATAGAATACATCAAATAGAATACATCAAATAGAATACACAAATATAAGCTAATTTGTTTAAAAAATATATTTACTAGCATTTTAAGCCAGTAAATATTTTTTAAATATTTATTATAAGGGTTTGATTTAAGGGGGTCTTACAGCCCAGCAAAATATTTTGAGATATACATTAAGTTGAGCACATAAATATTATTAAATTTATATAAAAAAGTTTTATTTCATTCCAATTTAAGCCAGTAAAGATTTTTTAAATGTTTAATATAAGGGCTGGATTTGAGGGCGATTTCGTGCCCGGCAAAATATTTTGACAAATACATCAAATAAAAGACATAAATACAAGCTAATTTGTTTATAAAACACACGTGCACGAAGTTTGGATATTTTACGTTCGTGGTTATAGATATTATTTATTATGTGTCGTAAATAAGATTTAATTATCTGGGAGATTTTTCGTTAAATGAAGGATTTTCAATTTAATAAGAATGCAATTATATATTTATTAAATGGAATTAATAAATTATTAAGGTACCTGGGTGCGGTAGGTTACAGCGGCAACCAACTTTTTGCACAAAATGTTTTCTACGATCACATTATTTTAAGAAATATATATAAAAACTGAAAATTAAAATTTGTCGTAAGAAGTGTATAATGTGTTGCCTATATCTACGTTAATCATGAAAAACGAAGTTGATATTCAAAATCAATGTTAACTTGGATAATAAAACACAAAACTCTCAAATTACGTACAAATAACTTGAAAATTATTTATTAAAAATAAATCCTATTATATTACATCTAATTTAAATTAGGCGAGTAACAAAGCTGTCAAGTTTCCCGCTCGGCGAGCGTCAAAGCTATCACTTAATGTCAGTTCGCGCAAAACGTCAACTTTGCGGTTGTATTTCGAAGCGTAAAAGCCTACTTCGGATAGTGATCGTAGAAAAATAGTATTTTATGTTTGATTTTGCAGCCTACAAAGCAGCCTCCAAAGCAGCTTGTTTGTTTATGAAGTAATAAAATTCTTAACAATTTTCTTAAAAATTAAAATGTATTAATAAGCCTTGAGAGGATCAGTCTGTGGAACACAGATTTCTTTCATCACGTCGTTTTAGCTATCACAGATAAAATTCGCTCAGAA